GTTTCCTCGGTTTGGGTCTGGATAACTATACAGATACATACACACACACATACACACATATACATGCATACATGCATACATGCATACATACGTGCATACTACATACACACATCCATGCATGCATGCATGCATACCGACATGTACTGAACTTGTTTGTGCATACGTGTATACTGGTACACAACACGCATGATGACTATAGCCACTTGTGTGTATGTATATACACGTGCGTGCGAACCTGTGATCACTTGGTTCTGCTTTTCTCGGTGCAGGTGATTTGTCCTTGAGGTGTTCTTGCTGATGTTGATTCTTGTGTTGTGTTTGTTTCGTTTGGGTCTACAGTTTGGGAAATTAGGGTTTTTGCATGGTCTGAATGTGGCCCTATAAGCCAAAGTTCTTTAAACCAGTAATCCTGAACTGGAAACCCTAAACCCAATCCTCCTGAAGACAGCAGCCAACACCGCAGCAGGCTGAGCAGCAGCGGCGGGGGGCGCAGGTGGAGCTTGCCAAGTGCGGCTCTCGAAGCGAAGTTTCCCAGAGGATTGGGACCTACCCACTAGCAGGTGGGATAACTGAACTTTATTTGGGTGCTCAGCTATCGAAGGAGAGAGTACGGGCTTCAGGGTCTTACGATGACACTCATTATTGAGAAAGGACGGTAAAGCCAGAAGACTTCGGATGTGTTACTTTTTCAATCCTCCATGTCCCTTTGAATGTGCAAGTTTATGGTTTGCGGGTCAAGGGTCGAGCATGGGTTTGAGGAACATAGCTGCCTCTGCAGACCACAGTGAGTTGCCGGCGGCAGCCGCAAATGATACAGTACGGCATCTGTTGGTCCAGCAATAACCATGTGAGGAGAGAGGAGTGGGTGATGGATGCGAGTATGACGCGGTCAAGGACCTCTCTGTCGATGGCTGCCGTCATTTAGGTGGTTGTCAAAATTATGGTCCCTTTTTGGGTCCTTATTATAATACGGCACCTATTATTTAGGGTACCCGAAAAGGGACCATAATTTTGACAACTAAATTTCTGCCATGCTGACGAGCAACGCGCCCATCAGCACAAACCTGGCGCAGACTGCACTTGCAAATCGACTGCTGCGGACGAAGCCGGTTCGGCAATATGGATGCCGAGCAGCACGACAACATCTCACGAACAGCCATCTTCAAAGCGGCGAGCCGTAACCCGAGAGCACAAGAATCAATTTTGTTCATTGGGTTTAGGGTTTAGGGGTTTGGGGAAGCTCTAGAGCCCTAGGTTAATACTTCTAGGTGTTGTGCTCATGATTCGGGGGGTTTCAGAGCCGACAGATGTCCGATCGCAGTTTCTCGTGCTGACAGAGCTAGCCCCCACCCTTGTGTTTTTTCGCAGCTCGAAATAAAACCTCCACCTACATTCGCAAATCCTGCGGCCTACGCACCTGAACCCGGACACCCGGAACCCTAAACCCCTAAACCCCTAAACCCTAAACCCCTAAGCCCCTGAACTCCTAAACCCCTAAAGCCCTAAACCCCTAAACCCTCAACCCGATCTTGAGCTTAGATGCAGCGGCAAGGTCGCAGCGCTTGCGGCACGAGGAGGGGAAGCGACGCCGGGAACCCAGTAGCAAGTTTTGGGCTAAATTACCCTAAACCCTAAACCCTAAATTTTCCAAGGTTGCGCGACGGTGTCGGTCTCGTGGTAAGTTATTGTTTGTTGATTTGTCAGTTGCTTGTACTAGGGTTAAACATAGGGTATCAGCGGGGTCATGGCGACAGCGACAGTCATAGTCCTTCCAGGTCTGCTTTGTGGCGCCCCGAACCCGTCCCTTTGCCCATGATGTTTGCCCCTCCTTTGTGCGACCCATTGCCAGCGTATGCGGCAGACACATGTTTTCAAGCGTTTGAAGTGCCAACTCCATTCGTCATGCAGCACGTGCTCATCATGCAAAGTGTGGAGGGCACTTCTCCTTGCAAGGCGCAGCAATGGCAGCTGGCACGGAACAGCACGGAATAACGCAACTTGCGCTTCAAAAGTGCCGATCTCAAGCAAAAGGCATTCAGGCGCTCTGGCACCTGCACCCCTACCCCTCCCTCATAGAAACCCGGGCGATGGAACCCTCTATATTAGTGAAGCCCTTATTATAAGATACGACGCTTGTATGAAAGAGCCTTCGTCGTTTTAGAACCATAGTAATATAGGGGCCTTAGTAATTAGAATAGGGTTTTGGGGCCCACTATACTATAATTGTCATAAGGAACCCCCCAAATAGTATAGGTAATTTCAGTTAGGCCCCTATATTATAGAACCCTTATAGTATCC